ATTTGAGAACAAAGTAATAAATTTATTCATGAGTTATCTGTAATATTAAACCATATTTGCAAGCCCCTCTTTCAACGTTTCAAAAAATTTTTTGTTATGTGATTAAATGTATATTCAAGGTGAAAGCCCTATTTCTGAATAAGCATTAATAAGTCATCAAGTTCTGAACACGGTGCCATAAAAATACAAGTACTGTGACGAGCTAGTCTCACTAATTCTTCCTATACTTCCTATTTGATTTCAAACGATTGAAATATTAATCATACGGCAATGCTCTCTTGATCCTTTAATCATACATTGACTAATGAAATCTTGAGTAATATTTTGTATTGACGATTGAACTTTCAGATGTATTAGAGACAGTTAATACAGGATTAAAATCCATATTATTTGGTCAGTATACAAACACTTTTGTCCAACAATTACTTCTGGCTCAAAATTTTAAAAAGTTGATGAAGATTTTTCATCTAACTTCTGAAAACGTTTGAAGTCAACATCGTAGAAATGTACTTCCTAAAGAAATGACATTGAAATAAGCCTTATCAATAAAAAAAAACAGGATGATGGAGTAACCCGCGTGATGGCTAGCGCTCCGCTCTCTCCTACCTGTAAAATATAGCTATAAATAGTACATTACGCACTTAGTGAGTGAGGTTAAGAATGTCCCAGCTTTCACATGAATAAATGGTTAATTTGAAATATAGGGCATTTGTTAACCTCGGAACGTGGTGCGTTTACTATTTAACGTCTCCTGGTGCTCGGTAAGAAAAAAATCTTCAAATTTTTAGGAAGTTCACTCGCTAAGAAAATTAACGTCAATGTATTGATAATACTTCTAACAGAGATGAATTAGTGTAAAAAAACCTTTGATTCAAATTTCAAGTCCCTTTATAGCGTATAAAGTGAGATGTTGATAATTTTATTTTTTAACTTTTAACGTGCAGTCTTCTAAGAATCAGTACTGTTTTGATACATAACCTGCAATATCTGGATAATCGACATCAAGATTTGATTGGAAATTTTTTTGAAAGTAGCTAAAAATTTCGTGATTACGTAGCTACAGTCTCATCTTCGTTCATGGCTTATGGAATGAGCAATAAATTAGTGAATAAAATAATTCTCCTTTGACAACTACTGTTAGTACGTCACATTATATCTGTTTATATAGTCATACAGGTTACATACACAGCTGATTTTATGCGTCAAAAAGGTTGGGTACGAGTGAATTCCCTTGAAACAAAAGTTGGTTTTGAATCAGATTTTTTCTAAGGCATACGAATCAATACGGCTCTTATAAGGCATGTGAAAACATAAAAAATGATGGCGTAGAGTGTTTTTAAACAATTTAAAAAAAACTTAAAATCGTTAATAATTGTTTTTTCTATACTTATTCAAAAATACTTCAGGCTCTCAGTTTTTATGCTATCATACGCATGATTGCACCTGTACTGATCGATATATCTTTAAAAAATCAAATTTGAAACCAACATTTATTAAACATTTGAGCAAAATTTATATCTCCAATATAGTTGTATTTTACAGATAATTTAAGCTGTTTTATAAGTCATTATAAGTATAATTAAAGCTACAACATATAGGCGTAATAATAGCTATAAATTTTTAACTGGTCGGTAAAAACCAAATTTGACTTATTTTTTATCATTACGTATTTGTAAGAAAACATGTTAGTATGTTTATGAACATTGTTAATTTCTACGTAATGCACCTCATAATATATCTTTGATTATTAACACTATTTACGTTATTACCTGGATTTGGTACAAATTGACACTATATAGGATAAATTAAACTGGTTTGATAAGACTCACATTGCATACATCATATATATTATGTACTATTTAATCTTTANTGGCAACTCAATGTTCAATATGACTAGCGCCTTCATACGCGCTTAACCACTCGACCACCGAGCTCTTGTTTTCCAATTCGTTAAATAGTCGATTTGAAGCTGGCATAGATAAAAAAATGCCATTAGGCACGACACTTGGGAATGTGTTAATTGCTCAACGTGTTTTTGTAAGTATCTACATTTGACCCACGTGTCTATAATCGGTTGTATAGATACACATGCATTAAGTGCCTTCTCAATTATATAAGTAGTTATAAGCACTGTATTTATATTTTAAGATTGTCATAGGTATCTTGAAAATGATCTATTTATTGTTAAGTTTTAATTAATAAATGAAAGTAAACGAAGTTACTAAAACACGTTACGTTGATTCTCTAGTTAACAAAAAATTTGTATCTTTGTCACGGATGTTAATTAAAAAATTTTAATTGACAGTAAAAATTGAAGTGCCCACTAATTGAAATCTAAAGGCTAAACCTTAGCAAAGATAATATGTCATATTTTTTATGTCAATGACAAGCGAAATTGTAAATAACAAAACAACATATATTGATACCGTTCCTGAATTTAAAATTTATATGATTATTTGCGAACCCTAGGAAGTTTTATTACCAGGAACTTTACAATATCTTGCTCAATCATTCAAAGATTTTCACTTAAGGTGGCTCCAGTGGCCTCAATGTTAAAATTATAAATAACCCAACCGAGGTTAATAAAATTGAATTATATTCTTTGAATTCCCATCTTTCTATTCGTATAAACAAAATTAAGGTTGACGATGAAAATTGTAAGAAATCATGCTTACAAAGTCGTAGTTTTAAGACGGGTTAGATAGGAAATGCAAGCTTACGCGATATACAACCTACTGCTGCACTTATATAAAGAACCCGTAAGGTGTAAAAAATATACTATCTTGTATATATTATTACGTAGTTTTCGATGAAATGAGAAAGTGTCTTGTTATCGAACAAAATCTTTAAATAATCGGAGACTAATTGTACAGTTGCGAGTGCAAGTCAGCTCTCAGCTGTCTGCATTCTGCAGAGTACATATATATAGGTATGACTACAGCTGAGCAATGTTGCCACATTCTGGAACTTAAAAGCGTACCGTAACAGTTCATCAATTCGGGCAGCATAAAACTTTTTTGTTTTTTTTATATTTACTCACTAAAGTAACAGATAAAATGTAGAATATTTCTTACAACAGTCTCTATGATAGTTTTATACCATATTTTAAAGAAAATAATGATTAATTTTTAGTCTCCCTATTTTGATACGGCACTAGGCGCTGGAGCCACTTTAAGGAGGTTCAATTCCTCGCTATAGTCTTGTGAAGCTCTCTATAGTTTTGTGTAGTCTGTCTTTCTCACTCTCTAGTGATAACAATCTTTTATAGTTTTGACCTTCCGTATTAATTAATCTCTTTCCTCATTCGTAAGTAACCTCAAGATGTTCAATAAAATTAAATACGATCATTAGATACTTTTTCATCATTGGTAAAATTTTCATTAAATATTCTTCGTTAATAGATGAGATAATAGCAAAAGAAGTGCTGAAAAAGACGACAGCCCATAAGTCTACAGGTAAAAATTAGCTTAATATAAAAATATTAATTACTCGGCTCCTAGAAATCCTCGTGCCTTCAAATTTTTACAGTGTCATTTTCATGACTTTATTCATTTGTTAATAAATTTTTATAAATTTCTCATTGTTAATTCTGTTACCGATAGAACTCCCTTAATGTATGACAATCGGAACAGGATATGTGTACTAGAAGACAGATATTCGCGATGACCCTTACAGCATAAGGACCTTGTGTTGTAGGAGTCGCGAATATCTATCCGTCTAGTGTATATGAATGCTTACTTTTTATCGCACAGGAGCCATTTTTGTCGATGTGAGGTATCGATAAAATATCTGGGGTCAAAATAAGCCATTCTGCAACTAATAACACAATTTTCCAACATGCATTGTATGTGAAATTTTGTTTCATGCATAGCTCATGGTATACAGTGCACGGTGCTGAATAAGTGTACCTATGCAATTCCAAAATCATAAGTAGTACTTTTTTGTCGACAAGCTTTTAAATTCAAAGAAAATAATTAAGAAAATTTTAATCAAAAAGCAAAAAGTTTTTTTGAATTATGTTAGTGTTGAGAACATTGGCGGATGTGTACTTAACAACTCCTTACGAGAAGTTGACTGCAGAACTCGCAGCGCTGCCAACATGACAACGCAGAAAATTCTAAATTATCAAGGCGGTAAATTTGAATGTAAATATGCGGTCGGTAATTCTGTCAGTACTTAATAGGATTTGTTTATTTTTAACACAGCTCTCGAGCAAGCAAAGCAGAGTCATTACCAAACTATTACTGTAGGTGAACCATGGGTGAACAAGAAAAAAAAGTTTTACAGGTGAAGAAGGAGTATTCTTTTGATTCGTCATTAACATTCAAATTTATCACATTGGTGATTTTGAATTTCTCGCGCTGTATTAGATTGGTAGCACTGCAAGTTCTGAAGCTAACTTCTTGTAAGGAGTCGTAAGCTACACTTTTACCAGAACATTACAGCTAACATTCAAAAAAATAACAACTCAAGAAGTTTATAGGTTGTGCAAATTGAAATATTTATCATTTGTATTGATTGCAAGAATCAAATTATTTAGTTTTTATTTTATTTTTGCAGGCCACCACTCAATAGAGTAACAATTACATAAGAACTCGTGGCATGTAAATGACCTAAAAGCAATATTCTTTAGCTCAGAATAAAATATCCATAATAAAAATTACTATATTTAGACCCACGTGTAAAAAAACTGAACGTTAGAAGGTAGCACTAAGGACCCTGGTACTTGGGGTAAATAACTAGTGCCCTGTGTCTATTCGCATAAAGTTAACGTTGATGTGTAGATATCAATACAGCTATGTCCGCGTTTACGTAGATATAGGGCTTGCAATTTATAATATTTACGTTTATAACAATGATGCTTTCTCCACACCATTTGGGTGTTATCTGTACTACATAATGTCTACGTACTGAAGTGACCTTGGTGCGAATAGACCCAGTGCAACAAGTAACATTCTTAAGAAAGCAATATAATTAGGCAAAATTGTATAGCAATGTACTTGTGTTCATTCAACTCTGCTTCCATTTCGGATATTTTGCTTATCATGATACGTTGCTCATTTCTTAAAGTTTGAAATCCTGCATATGATTCTTGATTTGATTTAACACTCATTGTCCGTTTCACTAACTTAAAACAATATGACAAACTGTTATAGAAATCAGTAAAACTTTAAGAAGATTACTAATCTCTACGAAAGACAGTATTTAAATACTTATGACTAATCTTTCTATTAATTTTATTTCATTAAGTATGAGTATTCTTGTTGGATATAGATTTCGATGCATTATTAAATTAAAGGTTCCAGTTCAAATGATCTATGATTTGTTAAGACCTGTGGATGGGCCTTTGCACGCAATAAGAGCAAGGAATAAGGAAATAACGGGAATGAGAGCAAGGAAGAATGAAAAAATAGAGGAGCTCCGGGAGCTACATTTTTTGCTTATTTCATTGTGAACCTTCATATTGAAAAGGGGGCTCTACTGTTCCGCTAAACTCAAAGTGAGTGAACAGACTGAACAGACCTATACCTCTTTTTCCATCAGGCAACAAAGCCTATGGTCGCAACTATGTTGACTGACAGAGAACACAGTATAGGTCTGTTCAGTCTGTTCACTTAATTTGAGTTTAGCGGAACCGTGGAACCCCCTTTTCAATATGAACGTTCACAATGAAATAAGCAAAAAATGTCTATGTGAATAGCTCCAGGAATTAGAAGAATGGGTGTAATCCGCAATCGCCACTAGCAGTTACGTATGTAAGATGTGACAATGTTGCTTGATTGAAGGGTGCGACTATCTTTACTGCCATCGGGATTGCGGATCACATTGAATAACAGCAGGAACAACAAACGATGGAATGAAAGCTATTCTCACACTCACCATCACATGACCCAAGTAGAAATTGAAAGTGCAAAACTAAAGCCAAGCTTGGTTGCCACGCCGCCCATCAGAGGCGCATCTTGGCCTGAAATACCGGACTTAGTTTACTGACCCCCACCATTCTCAATAAGCGAAAAAGACAGATATTCACGCTCAATGCTCTATCCATATAGACATATAAAAAATAGACTGCTCGTTCTTATGTACAGCGCTAAAGCACAAGTAAAAAGAGACACCCTATCGAACATGTATGTATGTCTCTCTCACGTTGCCAACGGTAGGGAAGTTGCATCAACTCAATCAGCTGGCCTTAGTTTACTGATCCTCACCTTTAGCAATGTGCGAGAGAGACAGATATTCACGTTCGATGTTGTGTCTCTTTCTACTCGTGCTTCAGCACCGTACATAAGAACGAGCAGCCTGTTTTCTTATATGTCTAAAGATTCATTTGCTTATGTATTTACTTATAATGGTCGGAGCGCTCTGGAACTATCGACGCTCCCACACTTTACAGATGTAATCATAGAGATATTTCAAATAGAGTAGGAAAGTCGACTTGAAACGCGTCCTCCTGACGAGATCCAAAGGATATGACCAGGGCATGGCCAGGCAAGCTTTAGATTGATGCCAGAGCCTCAGCAGGCGTAAATGTAGAGTTTATCACATGGTGTTATGAGGGTTACCGCAGGCAATGATCAGGGCTTGGCCAGGGTTTTTGTGTATATGTATAATAACATATATGTACTGTACAGTACTACAGTAGGGATTATAGTAAGTATATTCAACGCTTTTAGATCAAAACAACATGATAAATAATTTAAGCAAGTGATAAGGAAAATCCATGTATGCAGATTATCGCTGCTTTTAAGCCCTCTTTAGTGGCATGCAATGTTTAATTTTTTGGAACATATAAGAAAATGATGATTAAATTTTTACAAATTCAAGTTTTTTAATTGTTACATCAACGCCAGCTACAAACACAGAACTACTGTCTTGATGATCGCAATGATCAGAATTCATTCAAAAATCGGTCTAACGTAGGTTACTTTTTTCACTCGCATTCGTAGTAATTATGCTATATTAAGCTTAATTTTTTTTCTCAAAATTTACGCGCTCTCAGAATTTTTCCTTTTAGTCGTTAAATTTTCTCACTGATATTTTGTTTAATGTATATTTAAAAAACTAATGAACAAGCATAAACAAACAGAAGATTAAAGGGAGTATGTATCCGCATGTACACATACATGGTATGTGCATACAAGTGGCACGTCTCGAAGGTCGAAGGTTATACAGTATACCTATATAATGTGTAGTACATCAGGGCCTGGACATGCCCTTCCGATAACCTCATTACAATACTGGCCAGGGCCTAGTGTTTTGTTACAGCTGTGTTTTGGTCATTTCTTGTCCGGATGTTGGCTGTTGGTAGAAAAAAAGGTCAAATAAAGTGAGTTTTCATGCTTGCAGGTAGGGTGATGGACGGTCTTTTCATTTTTTTTTTTTTTTTTTCAACGTGACATTTACACTTAGGCAGCGGTTACATCAGTGATCGTATTGTCAGTAGAATTCCATGGTCATAGGTTTGGAGATCAAGTTGGCAACTCTTACAAAATGCGTAGAGACCTTACAACGCGACTCTACTTACTCCAAGCATTTTGTAAGAGTTGTAAACTTTATCTCCAAACCCGTGACGATGGATTTCTACTGACAATATGAACACTGGGTTACATGGCTGCCAAAGTAGCCAACGGAACGTCACTGCGTCAGAAAAAAAGGTTCCTCCATCATCGGTTCAGCAAGTGATGCTTCTGTTTCCGTTAAAAAGAAAGTGCATATCATGCACATGGATACGGAACAGTACGTTGCCTCAGAGTAGCAGCCTATGGTCATGAAGAGTTTAAGGGGGCTCCTTCACGAAAGTCCCCAAACAGAGATACATTATTTCTTGTAAATTAAAATCTACTGAATTTAATGGTGGTCTAAATTATATTTCGAATGGGTCAAAATTTTGAGAAATCTTAGCTCAAAGTTGTAACTATTAGCACGTGTTCCTATGGGGCAGCATGAAAAACAATTTGTTTTTGTTTATAATAAACCTAAATTAAATGTCCCAGCAGACTGAATATATACGTTTTGTACATGAAGTCTTCCTCTGTAATATGCTGTATTAAAAATTGTGGATTAAGGACCATTTTAGCGAGATATTTGTGATGGAAATAAATAAATAGTGTCCGGGAGGTCAGGAGGTCACGTGGGTAGCAGACGTACTTGTTCACCTAATTGTGCGAGTTTTCAAAAAGTTGAGATTCGTATAGCTTGAAGTTTGTATGTATCTAGCATTATTTTTATCGAATAAGGAGTATGGAATAAAATAAATATAAACTTTTTGTATATTTTAACGCTTCTAAATATTTTTATATATTATTTTAACAATCCTGGAAAATATATATTTGCAATGACTACCTGGTATAACCTCTTGAGTGCCTTTTTTTTCTCATATTTTGTTACATACTTTTTTTTCATGAACTTGCCTTTCCTTCATCCTCTTGAGAATCTATGTGCGTGGTATTCTTTTTTTTTAAGTGGATTAGAAGGACCGTTATCCATTGTTTATCAATTAAATGATGTTAATGACATACAGATACTTAACACTATAGAGGTAGAGTAATAGCAGAAAGGCATGCTAACACGACATATATATACCATATACCTATATATTAGATCGCTATACTACACCAACACAGCTGGTGTACCACTGTACCCTCGTATGCACTAGACTGGTCAAAACAATAATTAATTTTTCGTACAAAGTTAAACTACACACATAAATATCATTTTTCCCACTTCATACGTTATTAAAAATTTTCAGACACATTTGTTTATTGAAAAACAAAACTTTATTTTTTGTTTGTCTTTGACCTCAGCAGTAGTCGTAGGAGCCCCCTTAAGCAGGAATAGTTTGCAGATATTGAGTATGTAATAAAAATTATTATCAAATGACTGTCATTTTTTGAAATGTCCTGACAGCTAACACTGCTATAAGTACAATCAGACGTGAAGACCATCAAAAAAGTATGGTAATTATCATGATGTAAAAATATAAGGTGTGGCGTTGCGAATACATTTTGATAGACCAATCAGGAACGCTTTCATCGCGCCGCCATGTCTGTCTGCGAATTTCAAAAGCTTTTAAAATATGAAGCATTTGAACATAAAGTAACTAGTAAAACAATATATATTTTTTATTTCAATCTTTTCATTCCAGTTGTTTCAGTGACCAAACGTGCAGTTCGTAAGTATTTACACAGAAAAAACTGACTACAGAGGTAATCTTTCATCAATTAACGTACCTGTCTTTTCATACGTATGTCTATATCTATATATATGCCTCACTTCAAAGTGGCTGCAAAAGATTTGTTTTAGATTCAACTTTGGCCACTTCGTTTCATTGTACATGCTCTTCGGCGCAGTAGAAGTCACGTCTCCTTCAAATATGGCGTCCTGATGGAAGGCGCAGAACGGCACAAAACTAAAAACTCGGAACGCCACAACTTATATTTTTACATCATGGTAATTATGGTGTTAAAAAAATTATTTATTGACTTCCGTCCATACGCGACGTCGAGTTCCGCATCCATTTAAACGATGCAATTTTTTGTCTATCCGAAACGAAAGCGTCACTTGCTAAATCGGTAGTGAGGAAACATTTTTTTCTTATGCACTAAAGTTCACATAGACATATAAAAAAAAAAGATTGCTCGAACTTTTGTACGGCGCTGAAGCACAATTGGAAGAAGACAGATATCCACGTTCGGTGTTGTGTCTCCTGCGACTTGTGCTTCAAAGCCGTACATAAAAACAAGCCGGTGTTGGAATATAGTTCCGGCCATACTTAGGAACTCTCAAGGACCCGCCCTCTCTGACGTGAAGAATCACTAGTTCCATGAAAAAATAGTACTGAACGTGAGGCGCGAAATTAAAATAAGGTCAAATAACACAAGCACCTATCCACCAATGACCCAGGGAGCTTACTGGTCACGCTATCAAATGAATAATTATTGATAGAGAAGACAATCGCCTATCACCCAATGACTCGGTGCGCTTACCAGCCACGGTATTAAATAAATAATTTTCAATAAATGACACAAGCCCCTAGAACCCAATGACCCTGGGTGCTAACTGGCCACTCTATTAAATAAATAATTATTAATAAATAACACAAGCGTTTATCACCCAAAAACCTAAGGGTGCTTACTGGCCACTCTATCCAATGAATAATTATTAATAAATAATACAAGCGCCTATCCACTAATGACCCAAAGTGCTCACTGGCCAGTCTATCAAATAAATAATTATAAATAAATGACACAAGTGCTTATCGACCTACGACCCTAGGCGCTATCTGGCAACTATATCAAATAAATAATTATAAACAAATAACACAATCGCCTCAAACCCACAGACACAGGGGGCTTACT